TCAGGAATAATTTGTTGTTGACAGGCTTATTGCCTCCAAGGGATTTGAATGCCCTTTTGGGGAGCCAGTATCTTACGTTATTGGCTAATATCCTGTATTTTGTTTGGGGCAGAGGGACTGAAAACTTAAAAAAAAACAAAAACCATAATAATGCTAGGGAGTTTGTCCCTGAATACTTAGCTGCAGAAATTTCTCCTCTTTTATAGATAGAGTCTATTTGTGCATACATGGCAACTTCAGGCTACATAACCCAGAGATAAGTTAGAAGTCTGTAATTCCTCTCTCCTGTAAATAAAGGGGAATCACATCATTGTGTCTCGATCAAAATCAGTGTTTTGGTTTAGTTCCAAACATAACTTGGACATTTACAGCAGCATCAGCTCAAGTTTTTCTCCTGATTTCATGAATTGCATAGACCGTGTTTATAAATTGCAAGGAAACTTTTGATGAAGCTGTTAGTAGTTTAGAGTTCGGTTAAATTGTGTGTGGTTTTGAAACTTGGAGTTTTGAATAATATTTTTCACAGCTCTGCTGATGAGGCATTTCATTAGCATTGGAGCCTACACTGGCTGAGAAAATAACCTTTTACCATAGGTTCCTTGCATGCATTTAATCTCCTTTCACTTTTATTTTTTCCATCTGATGGAATGTATCCCACTCCTTCTCCCCATCACTGTTGATTTCCAAGAATTATTCTGTCCCACAATACAGCATCTTTTGCTTCTCCACAAAGACTTACCAGGTCAAAAAAAGCCTGTTTTTCAGAGTTAAAAAAATGATAATTACTGTGTAGAAAAATTATACAGAAAATCCTATCTAACGCTAGGTTTCCAAACCTCTTAAAACTGTTCTATCCCATGACTGTGGGTTTGCTGGTGACAAATGTTTTATGGGCATACTTTAGTAGACACCCGTCTAAAATCTGTTCTTAATAGTCAGATCCTAAATTGGAACCAGAGGGGCAGAAAAACCAGATTTGAAACGTGTTTCTAAGGGTTTGTTTTTACTTTCAGTTGAGACTGCCTTCTCTCATCTTTTGTACTGCTGTCAAAAGGGCCACTCTCATGGTTGTTCAAACTCCATGCTTCTTGACAGGAACAGTTGGACCCCTCTTCAATGATTTTCAGATGAAACGGCTTCCAAACCTCCAGAGCTTTAACTTGTAGTTATTAGGCCCTTTGAAATAGCAACACATTAATCAGCTGAAATCAAGTGGTCCTTTCTCCAAGGCTGTGATATTGCTGTTCTCTTCTAGGTAAAACTCTAGTCTAAATATTAGTTTCAAGAGCTCTTTTTTTTTTTTTTCTTTTTTTCCCTCTAGATATGTCTATCCCATTTCTGGTTTTATTTTGATCATTGTTTTATAATGCTGTGAATTAAATTGCTCAGTTCCATAATAGGCTTTTATACTCTCAAATTGCATTAAAAGAAGTAACACAGAAAGCTAACTTCCACTTATTTGACTTTTAGAAATTGCCTTCCATCCTTTTAACTTCTCTCATGCATAATCTGAAGCCCAGCAGAAAAGGTGTCAATGATGTAATGGATTATGTCTGACAGAACTTTGTCTAACGATGATGTGAAACATTGAAAAACTTATGATTTTGTTAAAACTGGATTATTTGAAACAGGGGCTTGGATTCTGTGATTTTGAGCAATTCTGTGATATTGAGCAAATGATCTGAACCTGTTAATGACTTCCCTTACCAGCCTATGTATTAGGCAAAAGACAGACTAGGGACTACAAAGAATCGAGAAGGTATTGTTCCTTGCAATGGCCATTGTATACATTCTTGAGTTTTGGCAAAAGGTATTGCTAAGAAAATAATTTAGGGATGCTAATGCTGGAGCTTCTCCCAGGCATAAGGTATTACTGGGGACAAAATAAAACCATGCATGATTGAGAACCTTGTAATTTGGGGGGCGAAGTGGGAGGAGGGGTGGTGTCCATATCACAGGTCTGCTGATGCTGTAGTCAGCGTCAGGGAGCTGCATGAGAGTTGATAAAACAGGACATGGGCCTGTTTGGGAACTGCTTTGAAAGCTGATGCTGCAGAACTACTCAAAAGGCTGTTAGAATGCAGAAATATTTCTATTCGCTTTATAAACACCCTCTGAACTTTTATTATGTACTGTATGTTCACAGCAATCATTTTCATACCTCCGAGGCTAAATAATTTCCGAATAGCTAAATCAATTTGTCTTGTGTCTGTGTTTGTGTCACAGTAATGAAAGTTCCCTCTGCTGCGGCGGTAGCAGTAAAGCAACTCTTCTTAAGGAGATGTGGGAGCTCTATCAAAGCATCGCTGAGTTATAACTCAGCAACTGATTAACCAGTCAGCATTAGGAAGGAAGTGACAGTATGCCTCAGCTATCAATTGAGACTACAGTGAGATTTTGCAATTAAGTCTTAAGTTTTATTTAAGGTCTGAAACTTAATAATACACAAAATGTACTGTTGGATCTAAAATCACCAAGGTCTTGATTTTGTATCTTGCCTGAATGACCTGTGATTGCAAGGTTGTATTATACTTGCAACTGAGCAGAGTGATGTTCATATAGGATGGTGACAGATGCACTAAAATTGGTTCAAGTCCTGCAACTGAATGAATGACGAGAGGTTCTTCAAGAGCTTCATTGACTCCTGTAGGACTTTGCCTAGCTGACTGCCAGTGGAGTCTTTTTGCTGCGTTGAGGAGACTGAGCTTGCTAATACCCCAGGGAGATGATGTAAATGCAACCTCCTCCAACAGGCTGAAGCAAATGTTTTGAATTAATACCGGGCAATATGAATTTCCATGAAGGAGTTTACATAAGGATCAGATGTAGATTTATATGTGTGTGTCTATTTTTGTCTGTCTAGGTGTACCTGAGATAGATATCTGTATTGATATGTACAATAACAGGTCCTTGTTCTTTAAAGTGACATTTGAGGTAGGACACGAGCTGGTATCACCTTCACTTTGTCTTACAAAGTAAGTAGACATTCAGCCAAGAGAGTTGGAATAGCTTCAGAGGAACTTGTCCGGGTTAGAACTTTTCATTCGTGGAAGACTTTTTAGCTTGGAGTATCACAATTTTTGAAGTCTTTATTAACTAAAGCTATGCAAGACTCCTGTAAGACAGATAAAGTACCATGCCTTTTTAGCCAGGATTCTTGTGTTTCTGTTGCCTTGCTTCCATATGAAATGTGGCTGTTGGAATCATTATCACTTTTAATTTTTTAGTATGCTGAAAAGCAGGATCAAAAAGAAGAAAAAATCAAAACCAAATCCTCTTCGATGTTCCTATGCTGCAAATCAATATTATGGGGATATATTGTTTGGATGTCAGCCCATTTTATAAATGAATATATCTCAAAGATTGTTTTACTGGACTACAAATGCCAAGAACAGGATGACAGTCTAATTCCTTGCATAGCAACAGCTAACATAAAATCAGGTTCACTCTAGAAAATGCAACTGCTGTTTGGGCAGGGTTATGGATACAGTCATTGTTTCTTGGTTTATGTTTGGCCCCTGGTAGATATTAACTGGCCGTTTGTCTGATGTCAGACAAGCCTTTTGTTGAAAAGTTACAACAGCTGCTGTTTTGTAGGGGTATAAATTCTCACCACACTGAATGCAGTGGGAAGTGCTGCTTTGGTACAGTGTGGTTAGACTTTCAGGTCCATAATACAAAATGCATTGCCATAAATATCCCATTCTGCAAGTGCCAGCATTGCCTTTATATGTAGTGTCTGACGGGCCAAGGATGAAGGGAGGTAGAGATTTAGCTTTCTGATCGCCCATAGAGTTTTCCCTTCATTGCAGTTTGAGATACATTAACTCATTTTCATCTACCTGTGTTATTCTAAAAGGCGATTTTTGTTTCTGATCATTCCAGGTTGCTTTGGTGGGGAAAAGAATCAGATAAATGTGTTTGTGCCTTGTCTTTAAAGGAGATCGTTTAAAATAGCTTCAAGTTACTACCAGCATTAGGCAGTTCTTCTGGAAACACTATGTATGAGTAGAAAAGGAAATGGGATCACAACATGCATTTTATGGCAGTACTGGATTTAGTTTATTAACTTTGCGTTGCCAACCACTCCAGGTTTGGAGTCTGTTCAGGTATCGTTGGTACTTCTAAGACAGGATTGCAGTTTGGCTTGGTATAATTTCTTTTTGAAAAATCCTAAGTGCTTTTTAAATCTCCATCATGTTAGTTACGTGTTTTGCTGATCTGATTTGCAGAACAGAACTTCAATGGCTTCTGGTTCTGCTATTAGCAGATTTTGTCAGATGCCACTCCAAACACACACACTCATACTCTTTCTGGGCAGAGACACTCCAAGCAACCAGTGAAATGAGAATATGCTGCTCTGAAAAATGTCAAGGGTATGGGAACGGAGACCAGGCTTACTGGATCCCTTTCCAAAATAATGCATCACATGCAACCTAAGGCCTTGCCTCCTGGAAGGTGATGGTCCTTTCTCTGTGCTGCTCTGCCAAGAACACAGGTGGATTAATGGTGAAGCTGCATTTGCTGATCATCCCTCGTGGAGTGATGAGGGAACTGGATGGCTGCTGTTGCACAAGAGGAAGGAACTCTCCTCTAGCCTGTGAAAGACCCCTGGCAATTAGGGTCTGATGAAGTGGAGCAGGTTTACCTCTGTAAGTGGGTCTGTTATGCACTAGCACTAAGGACAAAGGGCTTTCAGGCTTGAGGGGGTCCCAGGAAGGAGTGAATAAAGCCTTCAGGCTAACCTTATGCTCCTGGCCTTGTACTTCCCCAGATACAGGGGAGGAGAAGCTAACAAATGGCAGCCTAATGGATTCAGACAGAATAGAAAGAGAGCACACTTTGCGAGCAGATTTTCTTTGCCAAAATAATAATATGAATGAAGTTAACAGAGATTCAAGGATGAATGTATATAGGGGTAATGACTGAAAGGCTTTCTTTATACGTCTTTCTCTTTAAACACTGGTATGTATTCCCTTCTGCTGCTTTATTTCTCCCAGGTATTTGTGGTCACTGTCTGGAGCGTGGAACTGTACATGGTGCCCCTGGCTCTTCTGGTGCTCTTTGCATACAACTTCTCCCTCGTCACAACAGGGAAGGTCAACAACACCCAAGATGCCCAGGCAAGTAAAGTGGCAGTAACATTTCTGGCAGCCCCAGCTTGAATTTGCCCTTGAGCAAAATGTCATGCATTTTAATGGTATTAAGCTAGTTGTGTAGCTAAACAGCATTTTTATTTCAAAGTTACTGAAAAGAAACCTCAAGCCTCTTGATTTTCATGATTCAATTCAAGCAATAAACCATTCAGAGTAGTAGGAGAAGACGAGAATGTGTAGGAGGAGGGATTTCACTTACTAAGTAACTACAAAAGCTTTTAACTAAGTTGAATTAAGAAGGACTTACAAAGCAACAAGTTCCTAAAACCCATGCCGCTACTGCTCTTACGCTTTGCATCACGCTGATGATTCACGATTCACAGAAGAGGAAAGTCAATAGAAGCTGAAAGAGAAGTCAGTTGTTTTTAAACCTTATCCTGTGATCTGAGACTTTAAGAAGCCCTTATTCCTCCTTCCCACCCCACACTTTTCAGGCCAGAGAAGACCATATGTTTCCAAGGGTGTTTAATTCCTTCCTTCCTTCCTTCCTGGTGGAAAAAAAAAAAAAAAAAAAAAAAAAATAGATTTGAATACAAAAGTCATTACAACGTGTGTGGCAAAGTGCTACTGTTGGGGTATGAAATACTGTTTGATGTTGACCATTGTCTTTACTTACATAGCAATGGTAATTGCAGTTAGAAATGAGAGTAAATTCATGGATGTCCATAATACTCTGTTTCTAAATGTGTAATAAGTACAGCAATGAAATACAGACCAAATTATAGCTTCCTTCTAACTTTTGATATAGATGATTGACATTTGTACCCATGAAGAATACCTTTACCCAAACAAGTCAAGCGGATTTTATACAAAGAAATAATATCCTAGAATTAAAAAGGTCAATAGTTAGTTTATTAATTTTAGTGAGAAAAGTTGCTCCTAGTTCAGTTTTCACCCATTCCCATGTGGAAAGATTGTTAGAAAATAGGGAAAGTTGCATTATCCAGACCAGGACATAGACTTGATTTGAGAAGAAATAGTGAAAGAAATGCTTTTGGTCCAATTTCAGCCAAGTCCAGAATAATGTAGAGAGATATTGTGTGTCTTCAGTGAGGACTTTATTTCATCAAGAAAATGAGAACTTCCCATGTGGGAGAATCCCAGTCAAACAGGTGGTTTTGTTTTCAATACAAAAGATGATATAAAATAATAACTTACCCAGGAAAAAATGCATGGGGAATACTTTCCAGCACCCATCATTCATCCTATGGTGAGTTTGTTGCATGTTTAAGTGAGGAGAGTGTCACATAAGTCGGCAGAATTAAGCAGTACTTCGTTCAGGTGGATGCTACAAAAAGGCTCTATCTGAAAATACAAGTTAATTGTAGTAATACTGAAGAGAGGTCCACCAGAAAGTTGGCCTTTTTCCGGTCACATGCATCCTGCAAGCAACACGATGCCGTGAAGTTCAGGGGTGCATTTTGCATAAGCAAAGTTACACATCTGCCTAAGTGCTTTGCAGGATTGGGATCATATGGAACAAGTAGTCAAAGTGCCTTTAATATTACCTGATTTCTTTTTTATGTGTGTCTATGATTCTAACCATCTGTAGGTCAAAAACAGGCAATCGGGTGCTATCCCTAGTCAAATCTGTCCTGCAGATGAGAAAAGGTTTTCTTCAAAATACCGTTGCTTTTTATGCAGTCATTTGTTTTTTGCTTCTTCAGACCTTGGCTGCATATGCACTACCTTTGGTTTTTGCGTGCCAGCATGTACATTGCATGTATATAGGGGAATGAGAGCAACAGCCTTTGCAAAAGCAGACCTCAAATTCTCTCTGATTTCTGTGCTATAAAATGGGAATAAGAGTATTAACCTTGTACACATGATCCAGTTGCCAGGAGACTGAATTCGTGCATATTGGTAAAATGGTTTATGATTTACAGATGGGGAGCTTCTATAGAAACGTAAACCATGATCAGTGTTAATTCAGCTGCTCAGGGTATTCCAGACAGCCAAAGAATAAATCTGGGTATCTGAGCTCTCAGTACCTTCTGCATACTAGATGCTTTTCTGGGGAGGGCGGGGAAACAAAAAAAAAACCCCACCAAAACCCAGCCCCAAAACAAAAACACCCGACCCCCCTCCTAAAAAACCCAAATCCAAAACATCTCTTATTGTGATTCTTCACATGCTTTGCATGTTTGCTGTATTTAAACTTGTAGTATATGGATTCAAATGTACCTATTAAATAACAAAAAACCCCTCAGAGGACCCTGTTAAAGGCTCATCTTATTAAATACCTGAATTGAAAGCCAAGTGCTCCCAATTTCAAGCCTTAGCCAAGCCTTTTGTTTTCTCCCCTACCTGTCAGCATAGAAGTTAAAGGGAGGAAATAATGCTGCATAGAATCTGACTGTGATTCGTGAGATTGATTATGTTCATACTAATGTATTTTCTAAAGTCTAATGTTTCAGTAATGGCCCTAAAGGGAGGGAGCAGTCATTGTAGCAGTGAGGATGGAACAAGTTGAGTAGAGAGTCCTCAGCCTTGACATAATGGCTGGTTCATTTGTCAGACTAAGAACAAAGCTGTTTACAGACACTAAAAGTTGGCAATGAATTTGAAAGCCTGTTGCCTTCAAACTACTGGACACAGCCGCTAATGCTTTATTTAGACTTAAAATTTGTATAAGGTATTGCATGCTTTGTTCAGGACATCACGGAAAAAAAAGGAAAAGTCCTTGAATACAAAACATTATTTCTGAAAGGTGAAAGTGGTCGGGTTTTTTGATGACTTGCAATAGAAGTGGGAGAAAACTGTGTAATGAAATGTTGTGGGAGTATCATAAGCTTTCTGAGCATTGCCTGTCACTGAAAAATAAGTGTAGCGTTTTGTAATATGGACATCTGCTTTTGCAGGAGCTTGTGGGCTTGGATGAAGATGACGATGAAGATGATAAGGTAAGCATATCTCACAATTGTGTTAGCTAGAATCAGAAGGAACGTGGGAGAGCACAAACCCACCATCCTATCTCTACGAGATTTTAATTTATTATCTGTATTAACTGGGAAAAAAATTGTTACCAGTTTGCCGATTGGCAAATTTGAAAGTATGAAAAGATTGGTTTGTATAACGTTCAACAGTGGGGTTACCTACGTGAGTCCTCCAAACACTAATTCAATCTGAACGGTCCCCAGTTTGTGCTTGAAGTCATAACAGACGCTTGTTCATGTATGTGCACTTATAGGTGTGTGTATGGGTGGACGAGGTGCAGAGACATGTACGAGTATGTAAAATCCCCCATCACCTCCATTTTGAGTGCTGGATGACATTTGGTACTAATGGCTTTCCCCAAATGATTTGGCATTTCCATTTCTGTAGGCCACAATTGGTGTAATTTGTGGAGGACTTGTTAGAATTTTCTCAATATTTCTTTCAAAGCCTGAGGAAAAATATGATTTTAGTTCATCGGCTGAAATGTGGAAAGAATTGGAATTGGCAAGGCCTGTTTCTTATTTTATTGGAGCATACTTATTCATTCTACTATGAAAAATTCATTTTTTTTTAAGTTTATCAAACCACAGTGACAAATGATAAAAGGATTAGAGGGCATGACATATGAAGAAAGATTAAGAGAACTTAATGTATACAGCTTGAAAAAACATAAGTAAGTGAAGGAGGATCTGATAATCTATAAATACTCTAAAGCTAAAAGGTGAGGAATTATTTAACGAGCAACAGCATGCAAAGGAACATTAGCTGTTAGGAAGAAAATGTTCACAAGGCAATGTGAAACTTTCAAATTGCATGCTAAGTTAATAAGCCCCTTCTTGAATATTCTATGTTTTAAGACTTTCACAGTGAAATTGTTGATCATTGAGAAGTAAATCAATACCACAGTTAGCAAGTGCACCTTAACTCTTCTCAGTCACAGACACTAGAATTGAAGCCTAGCAGACTAATTGATGGGAATAGTTATTTAAATTTAACCTGCTCTTCTGTGGTGGTTATATTTTAATGAGCAACCAGAAATTCATCAAAGTTATAAAGTGAACTTTAGACAATCTAGTTGAATTACAGGTTTCTTGCAACACACAATAATTATTTAAATGTTCTCATTTATAATTCACTGTTTGCATTGTAAAATTGGTCAACTAAATGGATCAGTATCTGGAACTCATCAGAAGCTGCTAAATGAAAGTTGCATCCTTTTCAAAGGAATACTGTGTATCTCTAAAAGTCAGTAATTTCTATTTTGTGGGTACCCAAAGCTAAATACCTGTAAATGTTGACCCTACATCTTATTTGAGTGATGACTAAAGGTGTAACTTATTTGCTGGAACCAATCCCATTTACTTTCTTCTTTTTTTAATATTCCTCTTTTTCATTTGCAAGTGCTGAGGTGGGGAAAAAAAAGTAAAAATTTATTCAATAGGTATTTAATCCTCTGTTTCCTGTGCTATGCAACGGATTAATTGTTATAAAGCCAAAATATTCTAGGTCAGGTTTACCCTAGATATAACACCAATGACTTTGCTTCACTCTATAAATACAACTGAGTCACTTAAATATGGATTAAATCACTTTGCATTTTTGCTGCACCCCCCCCCCACTAAACAACTTCACTGTCATTTTCTTTCTTGGTTTCTTTTAACCAAGTACACAGGTTTGGGAAGACTCCGGAGAGTCAATGTTGAGCTGCTGATGATTTGGCCCTACCATTTTGTAATCATCATGGCCTCTATCTCTTTTTCATGCGCTGTGACTCTGAAATGTAGAGCTAGTAGAAATGGCTAAAGCTACTTACAGTAGACACTTCCAGCAGGCTTTCTCATCAGGATAACACTTTATATCCCAACATTACAGCAATAATAATTCATAACTTGTATTAATTGATATAATAGTGTTATGGGTCTATGGAATTCTGACACAGAATTACAGGAGAGAGAATTGCCAGGCACAACGTGTCCCATGTCATGTGCTGTGCAGCATTGCCTTAATGTCTTGGTCCTGTGCTGGGTAGATCCCCCCTGCATCAGTGATGGACCATGCTTGCACTGTGATGACTTGCATCTTTAGTACATTAGGTTATTCTAAGTGACTTTTCCAAGTCTGAGGGTGGCCGATGCTCTCTAGGGAGTGTAAGAAAAATGTAGTTTTATGACATTATCTTATGGCAATGTCAACATTTAAACAGAAAACTATACTTTAAAAAGAAGTCTGTGTATTTTTTTTTTCCCCCTCTAATACAAGAGCTCCTAAAGTTGAAATCTGCTAGTTGGGTTGTGGTATACGAGGTCACTGTTTCTGTTTCCTATCATCCTGCTGTATCAAAATACTCACACACATAGCCTTTCTGGGTTCTGCTGCATGTTAGACATAACAGACCATGCTTCTGGGAATTGTAACACACCCTCTCAGAGATGAACTGTTTACAAATTATAAATACACAGACACTTAGTTCAAAAACCCAAGAGCAGATTAACTCCCTCCACCTAAACTATCTGTCTTAAATGACAGGGCTTAATTGCCAACTCCCCCTTTTTCCCGCCCCCCTCCCCTCCCCAAATACCAGCATGGAGGACTGTAAAAGATAAGAGAGCTCTGTCCCTTTGGCACAAGCTGTTTGGTGGATGAATGCCTTCTCGGATTCGTGCCATCTTGGACATAGAGTTCAGGCTGTGTCGTGTCAGCTCTGGGGTCTGTCAGACTGTCTGAATAAGAATTGTTTTTAAATTACATCACTGAAACATCTTTCTCCCGCCAGCAGAAAGGTATAGACAAGTTACATGCAGCTCAATGTAAGCTGTCTGATCATTGACCATTTCTATTTATTTTACTTTTTTTTTTTTCTTTTTTCACAACAACTGTAGAGCTTCAAGAGCAGACAGTTACCTTGTTGAATGAGTGTATCATTCAATGGGACTGGAAAGAGTTTTGGAGTCTGCTCATGATTTTGTTACCTGGATAAAAGCTTGCATCTCCTACAAAACAGACAAAACTTGAATTACTACTCTTTCCAGGGCTGGTAATTAATTCAAAAGAAAATCAGAGACAAAACTAAAGCAACAACAATTCCTTTTTTGGTTTTTTGTGGGGTTTTTGTTTGTTTGTTTGGTTTGGTTTTTTTCTTTTCTTGGAGGGTTCCTATCCAGTGGTGAGCCAACGTAGCCCTACTTGGCTAGTGGGATGTAATAGGGAAGGATTGGATGACAGTGTAGCTTTTAGCCAAGTTATTTGGCAACTTCCAAGAAATGTTTAGTATCTCATGTATTGGAAAAAAGATAATTGGGGGAAACAAAATCTCCAAAGAAGAAAAATTCCATGTTTCTAGTGTAGGAAATTCTCTGTCAAAAATAGGTACCCAAAAATATACAAAGTTTTATGAGCACAGTTCAAAAAGACTCCAGCCAAATGAATTAAAGTCAAATTCATCCAGTAGCAAACAGCTGACATTTTCCATTTGAGTTAGATTCAGCATGTGGAAACCTTCCGTATGGATCTTATTTGTACGGGTGGATTACGATGAAAATTGCATTAATTTACTCCACAGTAAAGGTCAGTAATTGAAACATGAACCAAGAGTCTATTGTGTAAGATGCTATATCCCCATACTTAGGAAAGGTCATTCAAGACAATATAATCTCATTGTTTTCTTCCCTGGAAGTATAAATAATTTTGTTAGTTTTTCTTTTTCTCTTCAATATAACAATTGCAATATCATATTTCAACATCTCCCATTAAGATTGCTGAAGAGAAATAATGGTAAAGACTTGAAAATACCTCATGATACAGAGGGTATGTTCAGACTAACAAGGAACACCCACCTTCTCCACAAAATTATGGCAAGATCATGTCCTAAAAAACCCCAGAAGGTGTGGTTTTGTGTAGGTGTGGACTCCCTTAAATTGTTGTTCTTTCTTCAGTTGGGTCTTTGTGGCTCCTCTCTCACTGCTTCCTAATGAGTCTATGCACAGACCATGAATACATTAGTGATGGAGAAGCCTAAGGGACAGATTCTGCTACTTGCCTGAGCTATGCTCGGTGCAAAGCTGGAGGATGGGACGCTTCTAAGCACACGTAATCATCTGGTCTTGCAACCGTCTTGACTAAAGTGGAATATAAGATTCCAGGTATCACTTAAGACACAATTATAGCTTCTGTAAGTTTTCTCTAAGCTTCATATTAACCTAATCAACTTCTGGTTAAGACAGAGTGCAGGGATTGCTCTGGTTGTGCTTTGCTCTTTGTTTGGGAACCTCCTGTGTACAAGAAACTGGAAGATAAATGGTCTGTTGTTATTTCTTATTTACACTGCAGCATTGTTTAGGACTGCTCTTATCCATAGGTATCCCATAAATTGGCACAATCCTTGTCCCAGCATCGTGACCCACCCATTCATAGGTTTAGGTGTGATGGGAGAGAGGAATTGAAAGGAGAGACTTGCAGAGGACTTTTAGACATCCTGGGGGCTGTGGTATGGCTGTCCTCACATAGAAACCTTATGGCACTCTAAAATAGTGCCTCGTGCCCTGGAGGTAGGTAAGTCCACACTGTAACTTCTCTAAATCTATGCAGGAATATTAAGTAGCACTAGTCAGGTCACTGAACCGAACACATAAACCTCAGGGAATTCTTGTCCCATAAAAATTCCAACTATTTAAAATGTTGTTAAAATTTCTTTTGAATCGGGCAGATTTATGAATAGATCTATCTTTCTCCTATACCCCAAATTACTAAAGGTCATTACCTAGATTATAGATGATGATCCAGTAGTTTAAGTCTAATCACCATGTGATTGTTCTTGGGTCTCGTGTATTTCCAGGAGAAAGCACTTATTTTGACCACAGTTGTTTTCTTTCCCCTTCCCTTTTTTAAATCGAAGATGACTGATGACTTTTTAATCTCCATTCAGGCTTCTTTCTTGTGTCTTCTTATGCACACATTCCGCACCTGAATG